ATTCAAGGCCACAAAAACCTCAAGGGTACATTCTACACCAGAGAGAGAATACACGCGTGATCACAGATAGGATTACCCTAGTTACACCCCAGTTCTATTGTTTTACTTCATAGTTTCAATTTCTGAAACAAGTGTAAATTGAATAGATCTATTGTTACGAATAACAATGGATTTTGACCACAGGGTGTGACGAGCGGGGTTTCTGGAAACCCCTACTTCTACATCCCGAAAACACAGTCCATTGTAACAGTTATTCATTACAATAGAAATTGATTGTTTTTTTAAATAGCATGAACATCAAAAATTACTAATAGTGTTCACTACAAGTTGTTTCAAGATATTAAAAAAAAACACATTTTAGGAAATTCCAATACCGAAAAAAATATTAAGCATCTATTTTGAATAAAAACAAATCATTTGATTGATAGCGTTGAAAAACTAAATAAAATTGTCCTCGAATTTCGAGAAAAAAAAATTCTGACTCCGACAAAAAACCATAACCCCCACCCCCTTGAAGTTAAAATGGTTGTTTCTTTAATACTCCTTTACTTGATGGTAAAATTTTTGATCCAAGTCATATGTCTCTATTCTACAGCATTAATCTTTAAAAAAAAAAAACGGGATTCTAACTCCCGGACCCCCCCCCCCCCCCCCCCCTGGATTGCCCCCAAAAAGGGAGTTCCTAAATATTCAATCTCTATTTTTGTATGTTGAGCGTGTCCGGTCGTCGGGTTTCTTAATCCAGACACACCTATCCCTCAGTATGTCCGAATATGAATGTTTGTTTATTCTCGAGAAGAGGGGGGGAGGGGTTTCTTTCTTTTTTTATATAAAACCGTTACATAAAAAATATATTTATGATTACCTTCATTAAACTGATACAGGTAAGTACTTTGGGTTATAATATTGCCTTTATCTTTAGTCTATTCTACCAAATCTAACTCTTGACTCAAAAAGTCGTCAGTCTTATACCCGTCCATATTGACAACTGCATACAAGGAGCATGATGTATTTTTTTTTTTTGTAATAAGAATGCACGAAACGGTCAACCTTGAACTGCTGATCCATATTAGCACTAGGATTTAACGGGAATATGCAAAACAGCAACTTTGACATTTGTAAAATCTACTCACTTGTCAAGGTTGGAACGAACATAGCCAAAGTAAGGTTACTAGTGGGGTTTCGTGTAAAACAAAATGTTTTTCTTATAAATCATGGTTTGATTATGTCAATAAATATACTATCCGTTCTTTTTCATTTAATAATCATTGTTAACAAATATAAGGTATAGCATTGGGTGTAAGTAAGTTATACACCTCGGGATACGGTGTGTCTGGATAAGAAACCCCTCCGATCTCCGGCCGTCGGGGTTTCTTATCCAGACACACCTATCCTTCGGTGTATAACTATTACAGAACATTATAACAATTACTCTGAAGGTGTAAATAATATTAAAGATAAAAACAATTCATTGTCTAACATTATAAACAATGTAAATATACTCACATTGAATGTATGTGGTTTAAATAGACGAATTCAGTATCCTTACACCACAGTTCTATTGTTTTACTTCATAGTTTCAATTTCTGAAACAAGTGTAAATTTAATAGATCTATTGTTACGAATAACAATGGATTTTGACCACAGGGTGTGACGAGCGGTGTTTCTGGAATTCTACATTCCGAAAACACAGTCCATTGTTATTCATAACAATAGAAATTGTTTTTTTTTTATAGCATGAACATACAAGATTACTTATAGTGTTCAATACAAGTTGTTTCAAGACATATTAAAAACATATTTCAGGAAATTCCAATAGCGAAAAAATATCTAGCTTCTATTTTGAATTTAAAAATTAACATTTAAATACTCCTTTGCTTGAAGCTAAAAATTTAATCCCATATGGCAATGTCTTAAAGAACATACATGTAAAGAACTTTTATTTCAATTATACATTAAAAACATATGGTTTTCATTTTGACTAAGTCTTAAGACTAATGATGACACCCAGGGGCGGATCAAGCAAATTTCTAAAAGGGGGTGCCAACCCAGGATAAAAGGGGGTTCCAGCCATATGACCCCATTCTAAAACATTGATCGTAAAAAAAATGGAGGTTCCAACCCCAGACCCCCCCCCCTTTTCCCCTTTTGGATAGCCCCAAAAAAGAGGGGTTCCTACATATGCAATCTGTATTTTTGTATGTTAAGCGTGTCCGGTCGTCGGGTTTCTAATCCAGACACCTATCCCCCAGTGTGTTCGAATATGAATGTTTGTTTAATGTTGAGAAGAAGGGGGTGGGGGGCTTTTTTGATAAAACAGTAACATGTAAAATACATTTATGATTACCTTCATTAAACTGATACATGTAAAACATTGGGTTATAAACATTGCGTTATCTTCAGTCTCTTCTGTCAAATCCAATGCCTGACTCAAAATGTCGTCCGTCTTATGTACCCGTCCATATTGACAACTGCATAAAAGGAGCATGATGGGGTTTTTTTTTGTAATTTTCGATACGGCCAACCTTGTCCTGCTGATCCATATTAGCACATGGATTTAACGGGAATATGCAAAACGGCAACTTTGACATTTGTAAAATCTACTCACTTGTCAAAGTTTGAATGAAGATCGTCAAAGGAAGGTTACTAGTGGGGTTTCATCTAAAAAAAAATTTTTTTTTTCTTATTAATCGTGGTTTGAAAGTGTCAAAAAAAATGTTATCCGTTCTTTTTCATTTAATATTCAATGTAAACAAATATAGGGTTTAGTATCGGGTGTAAGTTAGTTCTACACTTCGGGATACGGCATGTCTGGATAAGAAACCCCTCCGGCCTCCGGCCGTCGGGGTTTCTTATCCAGACACACCTATCCCTCAGTGTATAACTATTACAGAATTTAATGAACTTATTCAACAATATGATATCTTATGTTTTGTTGAAACAAAGACCAACGATATAGATGAAATAAACATACCAGGGTATACTGTGAAAATAAAAAAATCGCTGTAAATATGCAAGCGTTAAATCAGGGGGAATAATCCTTGCTTATAAATCTAATTTATCTGAGCACATTCATCCTATTGAAACAGATAGTAAATATATATTTTTGGTTCAAAATTTATAAAAAAAATGTTTCATCTATGTCAAGATATTATTTTTGGTATTGTATACATTCCACCAGAAAATTCATCATATTGTATAGGTGACCTTTTAAATAAATTGAACATGAACTTTATATGTTTAGTTCAGATCACAGTTATATATGCCTTCTTGGAGATTTTAATGCCAGAACAGGCGAAGACCTAGATTTCACAGAAGTAACTTATGATGAATTTTCAGGAATGTTTGATTTAAATGATGTATCTTTAAACACGTTAACAAACTCCAATATTCATATTTCAAGAAAAAGTATGGATAAAATGAAAAATAATTTTAGTAACATTTTCCTACAGCTATGTAGAGCTAACAATTTATTTATCTGTAATGGAAGAATCGGGATGACAAAGACAAAGGCCAGTTTACATGCAAAAATATCAGTGTGGTAGATTATGTTATTGGCTCTGCACATTTTCTTACACTTCTTCAAAACTTTTCTATTCTTGAAACATCAAAACTATTTTCCGATGTTCACACTCCATTGTCACTTTCGATGTGTATATATGAAAATGAGAAAAGAAATCATTTAAAAAAAAACTGCCCACCAACTGACGAAGTTGAAAAAGGGGACAACAAAAATGTGGATACCTTTATTGAAAATATAGATAAAATTCATACTAACTGAGCTTGAGTCTGTAAATATAGAAGATGTAAATCATAATTGTGTAAATAGTATAGTTAAAAGAACTTGTGATGTACTTGTTGATGCTGCTAAGACTACTTTTGGTACATATATGAAACATAATAAACATACTAATGGTAAAGTAACTACATCTAAGCCTTGGTTTGACGAAGATTGCAAGACTGCAAGAAAAAATTTCAAAAAATCTAAGAGAAAACTGAAACGTAACTTTTCACCAGATCTTTCCAATGAGACAAAATCTCTAGAAAAGCAATACAAAAGAACTATAGTAAAGGTATCCAAAAACACCGCAAGAAAATTAGGAACAAAATTAGTAATTTAAAATCGAAAAATCCAAAGGAATACTGGAGAATTTTTAATAACAACAAAAAATCAAAAACTCCAGATATCCCAATTACTGTTTTGTTTGATTTTTTTAAAGATTTAAATAACGGAGAAAATGTAGAGAACGAAATTCCTACAGAAAACCATGTTGATATAGATAGTTTGAATGTATATATAAACTCTGTAATCACTCGTGATGAAGTTGAAAATGCTTTAAAGGGTCTGAAGAATAATAAAGCATTAGAGCTCTAATGATATAATTGTTAATGAATATCTTAAGCATTCATTTAGTGTTATGTCTGATATTTATGTAAAACTATTTAATGTAACTTTTGATACAGGTATCGTACCCGAAGAATGGCTATGGAGCGATATAATTCCAATGTTTAAAAATAAAGGGGATAAATTTGATCAAGAAAATTTCAGACCTATCACCATGATAAGCAACTTTGTGAAACTTTTAACATCTAATAAAAGATAAATGATAAATTATTTTACTGCACAGGCACATTTTTAGCTATTATTTTTATATTGACCTTTAATCGGTATTCTGTTAAATTCCTCAAAACACTTACTATAGCTCGAGTATTACTTAGCAAAAAAAAGGAGTTGTACTTGTACTAGAAGACTCAGGCAAACTATATGATCAGTATCTATTTTAAGTGATAAGTTGGTGAGGAACGAGATACCGAAGATACGAGTTTACCTACAACCATAATCTAAACAATTGAAAATTAAAATACCATATAACTAATGCTTTTATTACGCGCAAATAATACACATCCGAGTACTTGAGTAAAATGTGTTTTGTGTACGTTGTTGGCTTCTTCATTTTCGGGCTTGGTCGAAAGCTGTGAAGAACAGTGAACACTTCCGGGTTAAAATGTGACGTCACATCTTGGAAAAGAAGAAAACACAAAGACACTTTTACCTTGATTTTAAAAAAATAAGGAACTTTATGGTAGAAAAATTCGAGTCAAATACCTAATTAGTGAAGAAATGAGTGAACTCACTCCAGACGAGGTAGATTATTGAAGCTAAACCCATAAGCCAACAATAACGATTTGTCATCCTATTTTCAGTGTTTAGACTGTTAGAGACCAAATTTATAAAAAAAAGATTGTTGTTCGTCGACGTTTCCAAAATACATATATTGCTTTTTTGCAGAAGTATTAATTATTTGCATCAGGGCCTTAGCAGAAATATTGGGTTTTTTTTTTGTACATACATTTTTGACATGATACAAAAATAAGACAATGTGGTATCAGGGTTTGACATAATCTTTTGCATATAAGGGCTTTCAAGATGTTTTGGCCACACAAACAGTTCTGCCACAGGTTGTTGCAGCCAAAGTTCCAGTTCAATCATTGTTTTTTTGGCTGTAGTTGATTCTGCCACACTTTTTCGTATTGTTCTTAACATATATACATTATTACTTTACACATAGATTCTACCACTGCATCGAGTGTGATACGATATTTATCCACTCCAGACAGTTAAATTTTCAAATTTAAAACGCGAGGCTCGACGAGCGTTTTAAATATTTAAAACTTAACTGTTGAGAGTAAATAAATACCGTATTACACGAGATTTGGTGGTGGAATCTGTTTCTCTAATGATTTTCAAACAATATGCTGGCAAACTTATTCCGTCTTTTCGAATGATCTGCAAAAAGATGTGTTTTTTCTATATGACATCAGGCATGGTCATGATGGTTGCCTTTTTTCATGCCGTCACAATCGTAAATTCGACGTCATAATCGGATTTAAACCAATGAAGAACTGAGATCAAACGAACCACACGTTGATTAAATTTTGTTATACAATTGGTGAAAAAAGGGATTAATTGACGAAGAATTAGAGAAACAGTTATATACGTCTAGGAAAGCTTTATTTAGATTCGGTATAGTTTATATTAGCTACAGAACATAAGATCTGGAGAGCTTTTAACTAAATGCATACAAACATATACATCATAAACACGATCATGCACACAAACTAAAAGTAGAGAAAGCACACGTACATTGCAAAAGAAAATCTGTGTATTCCTCCTATTCAAAACAGGTACAGTATGAGTTTTTGTCATTGTGGATGGCCATGCAATGACCCATAGTCATGGTAGAATACTTCCTTTTCCTTAGGTTTTTACATGGCAAACAACTCATACCATATCACCTTAACCATGTTAACTTAGCAAATGTACTTGAATGCAACTGTTGAAAAATGCATTTGATTTTATCATGTTTATCAATTTCCATAGTTTTATCTCAATGACAAATGCACAAAATATAAACAATTGAAATGTACAAGTAATGATTAAAAGATATTGAAATTTGTTTTTAGTTTCAAAATTCATTTCAAGTTTCAATTTCAACTTTTTCTCCTTCTACCAAATGTGTCAAATTATGACTGATCCTCTTAATAACAGTTAACTGTATGTGTTACATAACGTTATTATCAATTAAAATACGACTCAGCTAGTTAAACAAGGGTGCTACCCACTGATGCACAGGTTTCTGATATGGAAAATTATGTGTTTCGGATGTGTGTACATGCCTTATAGTAATGTTTACGGTAACTACTGACAAAATGTCGGGTAGTCCAAATGACTTCTAATTTCAGAACTCCATGTAGTCCTCAAGTACATGAAGTAGGTGCTGTATTATCTGACTACTGTTTGTGTCAAATCCTGGGTATGATTGCCTATGAGAACTGGCCACCAGAGACCAAATAGCGCAACATAAGAACACAAACTGTAAAAATCATTTGAAAAGGGCTTGCCTCATCAGATTGACACAAAGCACAAAAAAACAGCTACATGTAGCTCAAAAAGAACTAAAGACACAAATGACCGATCGAACAAGTTTTTTTTTGGAATAATGAAAATAGAAATCACATTATCATGATTATCAACAAACTAATATCTGGTTTGAGATTTCATTTTCAATTGATTATAACAGATAAGAAGAAGACGTCTGGCCAGGTTAGCAGGAAACCAGACTACCCCTCCAGATGGAGACAGGTCAACAGGAACCCAGTCTACACCTTCTAGTCAGTCTTCAGAAAGACAATCAAGTCAGTCAACACCAAGTCAATCATCAGTAGATACTACACAAAGGCGAACTCTTCCAAGTAAGTCATCTGTAGATACTACACAGAGAAGAACTCTTCCAAGTAAGTCATCTGTAGATACTACACAGAGAAGAACTCTTCCAAGTAAGTCATCTGTAGATACTACACAAAGACGAACTCTTCCAAGTAAGTCATGAGTAGATACTACACAGAGAAGAACTCTTCCAAGTAAGTCATCTGTAGATACTACACAGAGAAGAACTCTTCAAAGTAAGTCATCTGTAGATACTACACAAAGACGAACTCTTCCAAGTAAGTCATCTGTAGATACTACACAGAGAAGAACTCTTCCAAGTAAGTCATTAGTAGATACTACACAGAGAAGAACTCTTCCAAGTAAGTCATCAGTAGATACTACACAGAGAAGAACTCTTCCAAGTAAGTCATCTGTAGATACTAAACAAAGACGAACTCTTCCAAGTAAGTCATCTGTAGATACTACACAAAGAAGAACTCTTCCAAGTAAGTCATTAGTAGATACTAAACAAAGACGAACTCTTCCAAGTAAGTCATCTGTAGATACTACACAGAGAAGAACTCTTCCAAGTAAGTCATCTGTAGATACTACACAGAGTAGAACTCTTCCAAGTAAGTCATTAGTAGACACTAAACAAAGACGAACTCTTCCAAGTAAGTCATCTGTAGATACTACACAAAGAAGAACTCTTCCAAGTAAGTCATCTGTAGATACTACACAGAGAAGAACTCTTCCAAGTAAGTCATCAGTAGATACTACACAGAGAAGAACTCTTCCAAGTAAGTCATCAGTAGATACTACACAAAGACGAACTCTTCCAAGTAAGTCATCAGTAGATACTACACAGAGAAGAACTCTTCCAAGTAAGTCATCAGTAGATACTACACAGAGAAGAACTCTTCCAAGTAAGTCATCAGTAGATACTAAACAAAGACGAACTCTTCCAAGTAAGTCATCTGTAGATACTACACAGAGTAGAACTCTTCCAAGTAAGTCATCTGTAGATACTACACAGAGAAGAACTCTTCCAAGTAAGTCATCAGTAGATACTAAACAAAGACGAACTTTTCCAAGTAAGTCATCTGTAGATACTACACAGAGAAGAACTCTTCGAAGTAAGTCATCAGTAGATACTACACAGAGAAGAACTCTTCCAAGTAAGTCATTAGTAGATACTACACAGAGAAGAACTCTTCCAAGTAAGTCATGAGTAGATACTACACAGAGAAGAACTCTTCCAAGTAAGTCATCCGTAGATACTACACAGAGAAGAACTCTTCCAAGTAAGTCATCAGTAGATACTAAACAAAGATGAACTCTTCCAAGTAAGTCATCTGTAGATACTACACAGAGTAGAACTCTTCCAAGTAAGTCATCTGTAGATACTACACAGAGAAGAACTCTTCCAAGTAAGTCATCAGTAGATACTAAACAAAGACGAACTCTTCCAAGTAAGTCATCTGTAGATACTACACAGAGAAGAACTCTTCCAAGTAAGTCATCAGTAGATACTACACAGAGAAGAACTCTTCCAAGTAAGTCATTAGTAGATACTACACAGAGAAGAACTCTTCCAAGTAAGTCATCAGTAGATACTACACAGAGAAGAACTCTTCCAAGTAAGTCATTAGTAGATACTACACAGAGAAGAACTCTTCCAAGTAAGTAATTAGTAGATACTAAACAAAGACGAACTCTTCCAAGTAAGTCATCTGTAGATACTACACAGAGAAGAACTCTTCCAAGTAAGTCATTAGTAGATACTAAACAAAGACGAACTCTTCCAAGTAAGTCATCTGTAGATACTACACAGAGAAGAACCCTTCCAAGTAAGTCATCTGTAGATACTACACAGAGAAGAACTCTTCCAAGTAAGTCATCAGTAGATACTACACAGAGTAGAAATTTAAAAAAATATTTCAATACTTCAGTTCCAAGGTACATTTGTAATTGAATGGTAGGTAAAGACTAAAACAAATATTCACAATAACCATGATAACATTGCAACACAATATATGATACACCTAGTAAATGCAAGAAATCTAAAAATCTTACAAAAATGACAAACATCAATGCATCACATCAGTCAAACAGAATAAAGCAATTGAATTTGTTGAAAATAGTTCACTTTCTCTTCAACCTCTTACTCGGGTAGTGACTATATTTAATTTTGGCAATTCAGTTAATGTTTGCCCTTTTATTTTCATTTAAAGTTCAAAATAAATAAAATGAGTAAAGTAATTTGAATAACATTTTCTCTATCACTATAGTTTCAGGTTGTTTAATGGAAAACATATAACTTTCAATGATTTTTTCAGTTACTTTATATGTTAAGACCCAATCACAGCAGACTCTTTAAAAATACTTTTGATTGAAAAAAAAGTCACAGTAAAACCTTTATAAATGGGTCGGCTATGGAACTATGACTGTACTAGTAGTCTATTATTTCCCATTCATCAACAAACTATTAAGTCCAGTTATACTATGACTGCTAACTCGGCGCAGTAAGATTACAGTAAAACCTGTATAAATGGGTCGGTTATGGGACTATGACTGTACTAGTAGTCTATTATTTCCCATTCATAAACAAACTATGATGTCCAGTTATACTATGACTGCTTATACAAATTACTCAGAGCAGTAAGATTTAGTGCAAGAAATTGCTGTGTAGAGAGATAGATACCCCCAACTAACTTACAATAATTTAACATGCTAGACATCTATATATAAAAGTGTAAATGACAGCATCTGGACATTAAATGACCCTTGATAGTGTAAAGATTTTCTTTTTTAATAAGGGAAAGGAAAGTTGCACACCTCTGCAAGAAGGAAGGTGATTTTGGGGAAAAAAAAACAGAACAAAAAGTTAATTCATATTTGTCAATGTAAAAGAAAAAATCTCTTTAAAAAAAGAATGCTTTACAAAAGTGCCCTTTTCTAAGACTATGCCTCTCTACCCTCAGTTTCTAGTTAGAACATTGGTTTTAGAGAAATGTTTTTATTTGCAATGATTTGTTTTTCAGGTACTTTAAGTGTAGACCCAATCACACCAGACTCACAGAGAAGTATGGAAGTGGATTCAGAATGCTCAGAAAAACAGTAAGTTTGTTGTGACATTGCTGACATCTGTGACTGTTGACGAAGACTTAATTTTGAATCATCACAGTAAAGTTGCTTTGTGTTGACATAATCTCTGACTAATAGCTAGGGTAATGGAGAACTTACTGCAGACCCTTTACCAGAGTAAAGTTACTTTGTGTTGACATAATTTGTGACTAATAGGATAATGGAGAACTTACTGCAGACCCTTCACCACAGTAAAGTTACTTTGTGTTGACATAATTTGTGACTAATAGGATAATGGAGAACTTACTGCAGACCCTTTACCACAGTAAAGTTACTTTGTGTTGACATAATCTCTGACTAATAGCTAGGGTAATGGAGAACTAACTACAGACCCTTTACCACAGTAAAGTTACTTTGTGTTGACATAATTTGTGACTAATAGGATAATGGAGAACTTACTGCAGACCCTTTACCACAGTAAAGTTACTTTGTGTTGACATAATCTCTGACTAATAGCTAGGGTAATGGAGAACTAACTACAGAACCTTTACCACAGTAAAGTTACTTTGTGTTGACATAATCTCTGACTAATAGCTAGGGTAATGGAGAACTAACTACAGACCCTTTACCACAGTAAAGTTACTTTGTGTTGACATAATCTCTGACTAATAGCTAGGATAATGGAGAACTAACTACAGACCCTTCACCACAGTAAAGTTACTTTGTGTTGACATAATCTCTGACTAATAGGATAATGGAGAACTACCTACAGACCCTTTACCACAGTAAAGTTACTTTGTGTGGACATAATCTCTGACTAATAGCTAGGGTAATGGAGAACTAACAACAGACCCTTTACCACAGTAAAGTAACTTTGTGTTGACATAATCTCTGATTAATAGGATAATGGAGAACTTACTGCAGACCCTTTACCACAGTAAAGTTACTTTGTGTTGACATAATCTCTGACTAATAGGATAATGGAGAACTAACTACAGACCCTTCACCACAGTAAAGTTACTTTGTGTTGACATAATCTCTGACTAATAGCTAGGATAATGGAGAACTAACTACAGACCCTTTGCCACAGTAAAGTTACTTTGTGTTGACATAATCTCTGACTAATAGGATAATGGAGAACTACCTACAGACCCTTTACCACAGTAAAGTTACTTTGTGTTGACATAATCTCTGACTAATAGCTAGGGTAATGGAGAACTAACAACAGACCCTTTACCACAGTAAAGTAACTTTGTGTTGACATAATCTCTGATTAATAGGATAATGGAGAACTTACTGCAGACCCTTTACCACAGTAAAGTTACTTTGTGTTGACATAATCTCTGACTAATAGCTAGGGTAATGGAGAACTAGCTACAGACCCTTCACCACAGTAAAGTTACTTTGTGTTGACATAATCTCTGACTAATAGGATAATGGAGAACTAACTACAGACCCTTCACCACAGTAAAGTTACTTTGTGTTGACATAATCTCTGACTAATAGGATAATGGAGAACTAACTACAGACCCTTTGCCACAGTAAAGTTACTTTGTGTTGACATAATCTCTGACTAATAGCTAGGGTAATGGAGAACTAACTACAGACCCTTTACCACAGTAAAGTAACTTTGTGTTGACATAATCTCTGACTAATAGGGTAATGGAGAACTAACTACAGACCCTTCACCACAGTAAAGTTACTTTGTGTTGACACAATCTCTGACTAATAGGATAATGGAGAACTAACTACAGACCCTTTACCACAGTAAAGTTACTTTGTGTTGACATAATCTCTGACTAATAGCTAGGGTAATGGAGAACTAACTACAGACCCTTTACCACAGTAAAGTTACTTTGTGTTGACATAATCTCTGACTAATAGCTAGGGTAATGGAGAACTAACTACAGACCCTTCACCACAGTAAAGTTACTTTGTGTTGACATAATCTCTGACTAATAGGATAATGGAGAACTAACTACAGACCCTTTGCCACAGTAAAGTTACTTTGTGATGACATAATCTCTGACTAATAGCTAAGGTAATGGAGAACTAACTACAGACCCTTTACCACAGTAAAGTAACTTTGTGTTGACATAATCTCTGACTAATAGGGTAATGGAGAACTAACTACACACCCTTCACCACAGTAAAGTTACTTTGTGTTGACATAATCTCTGACTAATAGGATAATGGAGAACTAACTACAGACCCTTTACCACAGTAAAGTTACTTTGTGTTGACATAATCTCTGACTAATAGCTAGGGTAATGGAGAACTAACTACAGACCCTTTACCACAGTAAAGTTACTTTGTGTTGACATAATCTCTGACTAATAGCTAGGGTAATGGAGAACTAACTACAGACCCTTCACCACAGTAAAGTTACTTTGTGTTGACATAATCTCTGACTAATAGGATAATGGAGAACTAACTACAGACCCTTCACCACAGTAAAGTTACTTTGTGTTGACATAATCTCTGACTAATAGCTAGGATAATGGAGAACTAACTACAGACCCTTCACCACAGTAAAGTTACTTTGTGTTGACATAATCTCTGACTAATAGGATAATGGAGAACTACCTACAGACCCTTTACCACAGTAAAGTTACTTTGTGTGGACATAATCTCTGACTAATAGCTAGTGTAATGGAGAACTAACAACAGACCCTTTACCACAGTAAAGTAACTTTGTGTTGACATAATCTCTGATTAATAGGATAATGGAGAACTTACTGCAGACCCTTTACCACAGTAAAGTTACTTTGTGTTGACATAATCTCTGACTAATAGCTAGGGTAATGGAGAACTAGCTACAGACCCTTTACCACAGTAAAGTTACTTTGTGTTGACATAATCTCTGACTAATAGGATAATGGAGAACTAACTACAGACCATTTACCACAGTAAAGTTACTTTGTGTTGACATAATCTCTGACTAATAGGATAATGGAGAACTAACTACAGACCCTTTGCCACAGTAAAGTTACTTTGTGTTGACATAATCTCTGACTAATAGCTAGGATAATGGAGAACTAACTACAGACCCTTTACCACAGTAAAGTTACTTTGTGTTGACATAATCTCTGACTAATAGCTAGGGTAATGGAGAACTTACTGCAGACCCTTCACCACAGTAAAGTTACTTTGTGTTGACATAATCTCTGACTATTAGGATAATGGAGAACTAACTACAGACCCTTTGCCACAGTAAAGTTACTTTGTGTTGACATAATCTCTGACTAATAGCTAGGGTAATGGAGAACTAACTACAGACCCTTTACCACAGTAAAGTAACTTTGTGTTGACATAATCTCTGATTAATAGCTAGGGTAATGGAGAACTAGCTACAGACCCTTTACCACAGTAAAGTAACTTTGTGTTGACATAATCTCTGATTAATAGCTAGGGTAATGGAGAACTAACTACAGACCCTTTACCACAGTCAAGTTACTTTGTGTTGACATAATCTCTGACTTATAGGATAATGGAGAACTAACTACAGACCCTTTACCACAGTAAAGTTACTTTGTGTTGACATAATCTCTGACTAATAGCTAGGGTAATGGAGAACTAGCTACAGACCCTTCACCACAGTAAAGTTACTTTGTGTTGACATAATCTCTGACTAATAGCTAGGGTAATGGAGAACTAGCTACAGACCCTTTACCACAGTAAAGTTACTTTGTGTTGACATAATCTCTGACTAATAGGATAATGGAGAACTAACTACAGACCCTTTACCACAGTAAAGTAACTTTGTGTTGACATAATCTCTGACTAATAGCTAGGGTAATGGAGAACTAACTACAGACCCTTTACCACAGTAAAGTTACTTTGTGTTGACATAATCTCTGACTAATAGGATAATGGAGAACTACCTACAGGCCCTTTACCACAGTAAAGTTACTTTGTGTGGACATAATCTCTGACTAATAGCTAGGGTAATGGAGAACTAACAACAGACCCTTTACCACAGTAAAGTAACTTTGTGTTGACATAATCTCTGATTAATAGGATAATGGAGAACTTACTGCAGACCCTTTACCACAGTAAAGTTACTTTGTGTTGACATAATCTCTGACTAATAGGATAATGGAGAACTAACTACAGACCCTTCACCACAGTAAAGTTCCTTTGTGTTGACATAATCTCTGACATATAGCTAGGGTAATGGAGAACTAACTACAGACCCTTCACCACAGTAAAGTTACTTTGTGTTGACATAATCTCTGACTAATAGCTACGGTAATGGAGAACTTACTGCAGACCCTTCACCACAGTAAAGTTACTTTGTGTTGACATAATCTCTGACTAATAGGATAATGGAGAACTAACTACAGACCCTTCATCACAGTAAAGTTACTTTGTGTTGACATAATCTCTGACTAATAGCTAGGGTAATGGAGAACTAACTACAGACCCTTCACCACAGTAAAGTTACTTTGTGTTGACATAATCTCTGACTAATAGCTAGGGTAATGGAGAACTAACTACAGACCCTTTACCACAGTAAAGTTACTTTGTGTTGATATAATCTCTGACTAATAGGATAATGGAGAACTAACTACAGACCCTTCACCACAGTAAAGTTACTTTGTGTTGACATAATCTCTGCCAATAGCTAGGGTAATGGAGAACTAACTACAGACCCTTTACCACAGTAAAGTTACTTTGTGTTGATATAATCTCTGACTAATAGGATAATGGAGAACTAACTACAGACCCTTCCCCACAGTAAAGTTACTTTGTGTTGACATAATCTCTGCCAATAGCTAGGGTAATGGAGAACTAACTACAGACCCTTCACCACAGTAAAGTTACTTTGTGTTGACATAATCTCTGACTAATAGCTAGGGTAATGGAGAACTAACTACAGACCCTTCACCACAGTAAAGTTACTTTGTGTTGACATAATCTCTGACTAATAGCTAGGGTAATGGAGAACTAACTACAGACCCTTTACCACAGTAAAGTAACTTTGTGTTGACATAATCTCTGACTAATAGGGTAATGGAGAACTAACTACA